GCCATTTTTTTATTTGTCTGCAAGTATTTTTTTACTTCCTCTGTGATTTCTTCATTGATGCATTGGTTGTTTAATATGTTGTTCAGCCTCCACATACTTGTTTTTCCCCAATTTTTTCCCTGTAAATGACTTCTAGTTTTGTAACACTGTGGTTGGAAAGATGCTTCACATTTCAGTTTTAAGTTTACTGAGACTTGTTTTAAGGCATAATATGTGATCTATCCTGGAGAATGTCCCATGTGTACTTGAAAATATGTACTCTGCTACTTTTGGATGAAATTTTCTGTTAAGTCCATGTCTTCTAATGGGTTGTTCATAAGCCAATGTTTCCTTATTTTCTGTCTGGAAGATCTATCCATTGATGTAAGTGGGGTTGTAAAGTTCCCTACTCTTATTGTATTACTATCAATTTCTCTTTATGTCTCTTAATATTTGTTTCATATATTTAGGTGCTCTATTGGTGGGTGCATAGTATTTATAATTGTAATATCCTTTTGCTGATCTTTTTATCATTACATAACGCCCTTTTTTGTCTCATTAGAGTCTTCATTTTAAAGTCTACTTTGGGGGCACCTGGGTGGCTCAGTCAGTTAAGCATCTGACTTTGACTCAGGTCATTATCTTGTGGTCCGTGAATTCGAGCCCCGTGTTGGGCTCTGTGCTGACAGCTCAGAGCCTGGAGCCTGTTTCAGATTCTGTGTCTCCCTCTCTCTCTGCCACTCCCCAACTCACACTCTGTCTCTGTCTCTGTCTCTCTCTCAAAAATAAATAAACATTAAAAAAAATGTTTAAGGGGCACCTGGGTGGCTTGGTCGCTTAAGCGTCTGACTTCGGCTCAGGTCATGATCTCACGGTCCGTGGGTTCGAGCCCCGCGTCGGGCTCTGTGCTGACAGCTCAGAGCCTGGAGCCTGTTCCAGATTCTGTGTCTCCCTCTCTCTCTGACCCTCCCCCGTTCATGCTCTGTCTCTCTCTATCTCAAAAATAAATAAACGTTAAAAAAAAAAAATTAAAAAAAAAACTACTTTGTGTGATATAAGTATTGTTACCCCAGTTTGTTTGTTTGCTTCTATTTGCACAGAGTATCTTTTTCCATCCCTTTCAGTGTCTTTAGGTCTGAAGTGAGTCTCTTGTAGGGAGCATATACATGGGCCTTGTTATTTTTATCCATCTAGTCACCCTATTTCTTTTGATTGGAGGATTTTGACCATTTACATTTAAAGTAATTACTGATAGGTATGTACTTATTGCCATTTTGTTGTTCTCTGGTTGGTTTTGTAGTTCTTCTCTGTTTCTTCTCTTGCTTTCTTCCCATGTGTTGATTACTTTCTTTAGTGTTGTGCTTGGATTCCTGTCTCTTTACTTTTTGTGTATTTATTATTGGTTTGTGGTTTGTGGTTAACATTAAGTTCATATGTAACATCCTAAGTATTTAGCAGTCTATATTAAGTCAATGATTGCTTAAGTTGAACATACTCTAAAAGCACTACATTTTTACTCCTCCTCTATGTTTCATGTAGATATTATATTTTATCTTTTTATTTTGTGAATCCCTTAACTAATTTTCTTTAGATATAATTGATTTTACTTTTGTCTTTTAGCCTGCATACTAAGCTCTATAAGCAATTGATCAACTATCTTTGCCATAAGTTTGCTTTAACCTGGGAAATTTTTTCATTTCATTATTTTCTTATTTCTAGTTATGGTCTTTTCTTTTTTGCTTAAAGAAGTCCCTTTAACATTTCTTATGAGGTTGGATTAGTGGTGGTGAACTCTTAAGTTTTGTCTGGGAAACTCTACCTCTCTAATTCTAAATGATAATCTTGCTAAGTAGTATTCTTGGTTGTAGGTTTTTTCCTTTCAGCCCTTTGAATATATCATGCCACTCCCTTGTGGCTGCGAAGTTTGTGCTGAAAAATCAGCCGAGTCTTATGGAGTTTTTCCCCTATATACAATTAATTCCTGTTCTCTTACTGCTTTTAAGGTTATCTATCTTTAATCTTTGACATTTTAATTATGTGCCTTGGTGTGGACCTCTTTGGGTTTATTTTATTTGGGACTCCCTGTGCTTCCTGAATCGGAATGTCTGTTTCCATCCCCAGGTTAGGAAAGTTTTCAACTATTATTTCTTCAAATAAGTTTTCTGCTCCTTTCTCTCTCTCTTCTCCTTTTGGGATGTCCATAATATGAATGTTACTATTTTTTTTAATTATTTTTTTAATGTTTATTTATTTTTGAGAGAGACAGACAGACAGACAGACAGACAGACAAAGAGAGAACAAGAATGAGTAGGGGAGGGGCAGAGACAGAGGGAGACACAGAGTCTGAAGCAGGCTCCAGGCTATCAGCATAGTGCCTGATGCAGGGCTTGAACTCACAAACTGTGAAATCGTGACCTGAGCTGAAACTGGATGCTTAACTGAATGGACCACCCAGGTGCCCCTGAATGTTACTATTCTTGATGTCCCAGAAGTCTCTTAACCTATCCTTTTTTAAAACATTCTTTTTTTTCTTTTGCTGTTCAGTTTGGGTGCTCTCCATTACCCTGACTCCACATGGTCTATCCATTCTTCTGCATCCTCTAATCTGCTCATTCCCTCCAGCGTATTTTTCATTTCAGTAATTGCATTCTTTAACTCTGATTCTTTTTACATTTTATATCTCTTTGTCGAAGTTTTCGCTGAACTCATCCATTCTTCTCTCAAGTTCAGTGAGCATCTTTATGGCTATTACTTTGAATTCTTTATCAAGTAGATTGTTTATTTCTGTTTCATTTAGTTCCTTTTCTGTAGTTCTGTCTTTGTTTGTTTGGAGCACATTCCTCTGTCTCATTTTGTTTGATTTTCTGTGTTTATTTCAATGAATTAGGCAAAAGAAAAAAAAGACCTTTTCCAGTCTTGAAGGAGTGGCCCTGTGTAGGAATGTCCCCATAAAGATGTGTATGCCCGGCAGCCTTGGCTGGCTGGCTGGAGCCTGTAGCAGGTGTGAGCGGAGACCTAGGGTACTCCATGCAGAGGTGCCCTGGTAGGACGGCTGGAACTGCAGTGGGTGCAGGCTGGGCGTCTACCAGTGCGCACTGCATTGGGGCCCTTTGGTGGGATGGCTGGAGCTCAGGTAGGCATAGGCGCATGGGGCCATTTTGGAAGGATGGCTAGAACTGGTGTGGGAAGAGGCCCGAGTCTTGCTGAGAGGGCAGGTTGGCTAGACTTTGCTCCCATTTGTGCTATCATAGTGGTGGGAGCAGGTAAACATGGTACTTGCTGGCACTTCTGACCCCAGAGAGTTGCAGCAGTTCCCTCACCATTTGGTGGATGCTCTAGGTTTGGTAAATGGGTTTTCCTCACTTATATTCCCGTTGCCCTTTAAAACACATCTTTGTTTTATTTTCTGTTTTTCCTCTGGGGCCAGGTGCGCAAATCTGTGCGTGGGCTCCTCAGTGCTATCTCCCCCTACTGCAGTTTGTAGTGTAGGGGGTGGGGTTCCCATGGTTCCTGTGTCTCTATCTCTCTTTCCAATCTCTATGTGGTCCTTCTACCCTTTGTCGTGCAGAGCTGTTCAATGAGCCCCCCAGTTCTTCTTCAGGTGGAACTGCTCCATACATATGTAGGTGTAGATTTGGTGTGTTTGTGGAAGAGGTAAGTTCAGAGTCTTCCTAGGACACCATCTTGGACCCCTTCCCTTGATATGTTGTAAATTTAAGGAAAGGCTTCCCATCCTTTGCTTTCACCGTTCCACGTTTCCTTACTTCTTATCACAAAAAACTTCAAGCATATACAGTAGTGGAGAGAACGGTAAACTAAGCCCTCATGTACTTATCCTGCTTCAACAACTGTCATGACTGATTCCATTTCACCTCCTTTCCAACTACCTTCCATCTATACTCCCTCCTACTCTCAATACATAAGTACTGGATTAAGTAGAAGTAAAACAGGAATCTTTTTATAAGAACAATTCTACTTTTTGAAAGAGAGTGAAAAGATTATATTAAAGCAACTTATTCAGAGTCTGAAATACCCACTTTGTTTATTTTAAGAAGCTAGGCTATGCCACTGTTTTCTTTACTCTATTTAATTAACATCCAAATAGCATGTAGTACTTTAACCACTGCTTACTGTGACAAATGCCCTAATCTCACTTTTGCTGCTCTGGAATAATAGTTCATTGCATTCCAGCTAACTATGTTTAGAAACGTTTAAATTAAAAAAAAAAAAAAGATGGTACAGCTAGGCCCAATACAATTATATTTAAACAAAAATGATGGAGTGGAGAGAACTCCACTGAGTGCTAATGTGAAAAGTCTTCTAACAAACCAAAGAGCTAGTAACATACCTATTCATTCTTGTTATCATTTCTCTCTTTTAATTCCTAGAGTAAAAAAATCCACACACCTATTTTGACATCTTGGTTTGGTGTGCATATGGTCTGATTATCAATGATGTAAAATGATAGTAGGTAAAAAAATTTTTTTTCACACCCAGCGTGGAGCCCAATGCAGGGCTTGAACTCACAACCCTGAGACCAAGACTGAGCTGAGATCAAGAGTCAGATGCTTAACCGACTCAGCCGCCTAGGTGCCCCTTAGTTTTTAAAAATGATTCATTTGGAATTTAGAGTATTTTGATTATGCAGAATTATGCATCAACAGAATACTCACGAAAAGTAAACTTCCCTAAGGTGTCTTCCTCTTCATTTATCTAAAATTTTAAAGAGTACAAATTTTTGCACCTGATGATTTCTTTTGCCAAGACTTGCTGTTTTAGAGGGGTATATAATGAATCCTAAGGACCTGCATATTACTTTTAAAGAGCTAAGTACATAACACTTTTGCATCCTTTCCCATCCCCAGCATATAAGTGAAAATAAGCAACTATCTTCCTGATGAATTCATCCATGAATTCCAATGTTTGAAGCACTTCTAGAGTGGAAGGTTGCTAAAAACAAAATTTTCTAAAATCTTGTTTTTCAAGATGTAATGGTTTTCACACTTAATGGAGACACTAACCTTTGGGTTTTGGTGGCACAGGACCTACAAATCCAATATTGTCATAAAAGTTATGAATAGCGCTGGGATTAAAATGTGGTCCTGAAATATATAAAAAGTAAATATATCAATGTTTATAGCTCAAAAATACTTAATTTTATTTTTTCAAAAGCAAACATACTCTTTCTAAAAAAGATCACAGTATAAATAGAAGAAATGTCTTTCATTTATTTTGCACTTCCAATCTCAAATTACATGTAAGGATGTCAAAACAGCTGAGGAAGGTATAATACACTACTCACAACAGAGGTCTAAGTGGTAAATGAGGGAAGAAGCCAAATGAAACTGTAAGACAGTGACAGATGTAGAACTAGACCACTATTCCATGTGACAAGTTAAAATAACTTAAAATGTAACAATTTAAAATATAATTTCAAACAATCAAACATGGTCTTAAGCAACTAAATAAATAGCTTGGTTCCAAATACATATTAAAACCTTCCACTAATGTAATATAATGGTTCAGATGTTAAATAAAAGGAACAGGTTCAAAAACTATAGTTGCTAGACCCGCACTAAATTCCTTTTTCTCTCTTTAAAGTTAAATATGGCATTTTCTATGAATGTCAAACATGACTTATTAACATTTTAAAAGGAAACACAACCACCATCTTTCAGTTTGATGGATTTTTGGCACACACTCAAGAGTAATTAAGGACTTCTTTTTTGTTGGCTTCCTTTCTTTTTCCTATCTTTTCCATTTCATACATTCTATTATTTCCCTAACTTCAGAATTAGGTTTAAGTTATAAAATTTCCTTTCAGCTGTCTATGGAACTGAATTAAACTGTCAAGATTTTTTTTTATTACAATAAGCAATTATGGCTTATCACTAATAGCTCAAGCTTCATAATAAGTTGTTCTAAAAAAGTACAGGCCATACTTTTACTCTCTTTTATTAATTAAGACAGTGCCATTAGGGTGGGGATGCCTTTTAATTACGTTTTTTAAAAAAAGCATGATTCTTGAGAGGTAAAAGGAAAAACAGCAATAGGAAAGAGACATAGGCATACCTCTATTTTAATCTTAATAAATATTACAATAAATATTATAGATTCTACTAATACATAACAGTAATACTTTTGATGGCACAGCCAGACATACTAATTACTGTCTTCCCTTAACACACGACTAAAGCGGGTTTGAATAATACAAATTTTATCAAATTACTCCTAAACCAAATATATAATTTCTTTTGGAGTGGGGGTGGGGAAGAAAAACACAATAGTTCTTTAGTACTATCTGGCTCCAAAGTCAAATCTGAGACAATAAGCTTACAACTGAGAAGTTTGTTTTCAGCCACAGGAAAAGAGTTGATAAATTAATACAATGAATTTAAGTTGAGTATGCACTGAACTTTACCTCGGGCTTGAAAAAGATCAATTTCTTTGGTTAAGCAGTCAATGTCAATCTGGAGTTGTCTATTACAACTTCTCAATTGCTGCATTTCTTCGAGCTGAAAAATAATTCCGTGTGAGAAGGATCTACATTGGATTCTCTTATCATTAGGTAAGAAAGCGTGGAGTTTGGCAAGGGAAGGTAAGGGCAAAGAAACAAGTCTGAGTTAATAGGAGCATTTCTAGAAAACTAGATCAACTCTTTATACTTCTGACAGATTGCCTATTCTCATGTTCCCAAGCACAGAGGTCACAAGAATTACAGAAAGACTTACTGAAGGTATTTGGGATATGGAATTTGATCTTTTCAGGCGCCTTCGAGTTAGATTATTTTCCATTTCATTGACCTCAGATTTTAGTTTATCCAGCTTTTTCTTTTGAATCTCAAGTTCTCTTTGAAGTCGTTCCATCCTGGCCTTCTGGTGTACCAACAGAGCTGCAACACATATTAGCAAACATGAGGACCCACTCAACTTCCGTCAATTAACCTTTAAGCAGCTTTGGGAAAACAAATAGTGTTTCTGTGACAATCAAGAGTATGCCAAGAATCCCAAAGATACACTAAAACAAAATATTTTGAGTTTGAACACTTAAAATTTAAAAAATTGTTAACTTGAAAATTATTTTAATTATTTAAGCAGACAAATGTTGCTACTCATTTAAAAATTAAAAAAAAAAACCGGTTTGGCTAAGCCCACTTTGTGGCTAAGGCCAGCATTTATAGCCTATTACTTCTATAAAGGCTCCGGTCTAGTTAATTAACCTACTCACTCTTATTTAATTTGCGTCTGACCCTCTGAAAGATAAGACCTACTCCAAGAAGCCTGACATGTTTGGACTATGCATAAGGTATTCTAATGTGAACACTTTATGGACATTTTAGAAGGGAATGTGGGTTAGGCCAAATCCATTTTGATGAATGCCAACAAATAAGACAGACTGATTTCAATCCACATGAATATTAACATTAAAGTGTTAAATGCTAACATTAAATTGTTCAAATCACGAAGTAAAAATAATACCATTTAAAGAAATCACTTCTATTTTGTGAAAATATTTTCCTAAGGTTTTTAAAGAAAGAAAGTATGCAATTAATCTTGTAGCATGAATGATAAGCTGCTTGGGAAACCTTATTAAGCCAAAAAATTAGTGTGTGTTCTTGTGATCAATCCTTAGGCAATGTGGGCCTTGTTTTTTAGGATACTGGGCTAGAAGTGAAGACGCCTTTATCTACTTCTATACAAAGGCAATGTGGGATGATTCTACCACGAGAAAACGGGCAGATTTAGAAAAGTACAATTAACAATCTTTAAAAATGAAAAATAGTTATTAAAATGAAGAAGTCAAGTAGATTAAACAGGTTGGATTAATGCTAAACAGTCATCTTAAACTAAACTCAGATTTCTTTATTTTACTTAATTTTTTAAACCTCATTTTCTAAGAATCAAAAAAATAAGGAAAAGGCTATGGCATATTAAGACATATTCAGGCCAATCGAGTACTGTATTCTAGAGCCAGAATTAGGGTGTGGAGTCTGGGAGGCTGTTAGGATCAAGGACTTCAAAATTAACTTTAAACAGTAGAGAATTTTTCCCAACAAAATCTGACACTGTTATAATCCACAAATGCTTCCCTCTGTAATTTTCCTTTCTTATTAATTGGAAGAAATAAATACTAGGGCATTATGTTTCAAGTTTTAAAAAGCATGGCTGATTCTGATAAACATGAAAACCCTGTTAACCTTTCTCCCATTTTAATATATATTCTGTAAATGCAGGGAGGTGTTCTTGGAGGTACACATGTTCCTGGTTGAAAACCTGCTGTGTCTATAGTACATCCCTACCTATCAAGCTTGTTCTGTCAGGCTTTTATCAATTTGACTTATTTATTTGAACTGCAGTTTTACCTATTTCCAAAATATAAGAATTCTACGGTAGGGTTTATTTTCTTAAGAGAAGATGAGGATGTGGGACGTTATTGAGGGAGACAGAAAGAGAAGAAAAGACGGAGGCAGGACTGCAGTAAGAATGAAGGACAGAGCAAAGGAAAATGGGGAATAACATACTTTCTAAACTCTAACCACCTGCCAACAACATGTCTCAAGGGCATTAATTAGAAATTTGCTCAAATTAGTGATTATTTTACTTAAAAGTAGCATTTCTTAAATTTAATGATGGTTTTCTCCCTAATGACTAAATCCTTTAATATCCGCTGATGACCAAATGATGGCTGATCTTTATGCTGAAATTCTAAAACAAGATACATATCTGCGATATTCTTCAGTATTCTTTATGAAGCAAGGATGAGTAGAGATTTCCTGAGAAATTGAAACCCAAGTTAAAACACATCTGAGTGGTCAAAATTTATATCTTAAGGGCAGAGAGAGAACCTCAGGGTGAGAAATACTGACGCCAATGAGCCCCAGGCTGGTGATGTGCTGGGAGGGGCGGGCAGAGGCAAGTGCAAGCTGCTGTGACAAGCCACTTCCACCGCCAGGAAGCTATTACCATGCGATCCGTGGAGGAAACATCCTTTCCATAAAGAGAAGCTTTCAAAAGACAAGTCTGACCAAACAAGAAAATGATCTCCCATGAGGATCCATGGCCTAGAAGGAGCCCCCCCCAAATGTTGAGATTATGTAATAGTCTGAAAGAAGCTATATAAAAGCCTAAGATGACTACAGTGATAACAGAGTACGTAAAAATACAGCAAAAGATACTATAAATAAAAGAGACAGATTTGCAAAAGTACCATCAACAACCTCTAGAAATAAAAAGTAGCCACTGAGATGAAAAAGTCAAACAGATTAAACAGTAGACTGTATACAGTCAAAGACACAGCTAGTGATCTGGAAGATAAGCCTAAGATCACTACCCAGAACACAGAGATAAAGTGACAGAAAACATGAAAGAGGGGTGAAAAAATCTCACATAAATCAAAAAAGGAGTTCCTGAAGGAGACAACGGATAGGAAGTGGCAAACTTTGAAGAGATGCTTGCTGAAAAAGCTTCTAAAACTAAAGAAGAGAAATAACAGATTCTCAAAGATAATAGCATAACTTGATCATCTAGTTAAATTATCGGAGCATGGATGCATAAACATTTTCAGGTAAAGTTTGGGGGAATTCACCAACCACCGGCTGCTGCTGAAAGAACTACTAATAATGTTTTTTTTTTGATAAGAAGGAGATTAATACAAAAGGAAAGAATAGATGAATAAATCTAAAGTTCTAACTCTAAAAAAAGGGGAAAGACCATGGCAGTGGGCAGGGTGGCATAAACTGCTTAAAACAAAGTAAAACTAAAACATTAAGAAATAACAAGAAATTGGAAATATGAAGCCCAGAGAAGCATTCTAAGGTCTTGAAAGTATTTAGGAAGAATACTCTAAAATGTTGCCAAACCAAACCTACATGTTAGGGGCACCTGGCTGGCTCAGTCGGTAAAGCATGTGACTCTTGAACTCGGGGTTGTGAGCTCGAGCGCCAGGTTGGGCGTGGAGCCTACTTAAACACACACACACACACACACACACACACACACACACACACACATATTAAATGTGTAGGGATCACTATTAGAGAAAGCTAAATAGAATGTAGCTTCTAAATAAAAAGACTGAACAAAAGGAGAATGAAAATTTGATTAAACTTAGATGGTAGGAAAGGAGGAAAAAAGAGAAAGAAGTAGAAAAAAAAATATGACAAGAATAATCCCAGATATATCAGTAATCACAACTGCAATTTAATTAAATGTATTTGGGGGCGCCTGGGTGGCGCAGTCGGTTAAGCGTCGACCGACCAGGTCCACAATATCCGCTGTCCATGAGTTCCATGATCCGTTCCGCCGGGTTCCACAGCGTCGGGCTCTCAGAGCTCATTAATGAGCCTGGCTGCTCCCATTTCTGTGTCTCCTTCTGCCCCTCCCCCGTTCATGCTCTGTCTCTCTCTGTCCCAAAAATAAATAAACGTTGAAAAAAAAATTAAAAAAAAAAATTAAATGTATTTGTTTAGATACAAGAGATCAGCACACTAAATTTTTAAAATTCAGCTATATACTGTTCATAAGAAACACACAATATAATTCACTCACCCATTCTTTTATTATGTTGAGAGCCTACTTGTCAAATCAAAGAACAGGCAAAAATCCCTGCCCTTGCAGAGCTTACATTACAGAGGTAGGAGAGACTGGGGGGGGGGGGGGGGGGGGGGTGATGGTGGTGGTGGGGAGGGTGGTGATGGAGTGGAAGAACAAGGCTCTCAACAAGTGGCCAACAAACTATGGTCATTGGACAAGTATGGCTCACTGCCGGTTCTGTGAAAAAAGTTTTACTGGAATACAGCTATGCTCACTTGTTTACTTATTGTCTATGGCTGTTATTGTGTTAGGACAGCAGAGCTGAATAGCTGTGACAAACTGCATGGCTTGCAAAATCAGACATAGTTTACTATTTGGCCCTTTATCAGATCATGTGGAGACTTGCTGATCATATTAGGAAGTCTGAGTACGTGGGGACCCATCATAGCACAGAAAGGTCGGAAGTAAAAGGACTAAAGTAAAATAAATAGTTTGCACTTCGGGTACCACTCTAAGAGATGCAAAGTAAGAGCAGTCAATTGCTGGAGATATTTGAAGGCAGTGGTACACTAAAGATTAACAACAAAACCCAAATCCAGCTCCGGGCCTGACTGAATTGACTAAAGTCTTCACACTAATAACCTGAAAAAAAAAAAAAAGAGCTGTTCTCATTTCCGGGTGCAAATACTACTTATCTCAGTCTCTTCTGTTTGTTTGTTTTTTTTCATACAATACTGGCATTCAACAAAAAATTATGAGACACCCGAAAAGCAAGAGAAAAATCCAACTTCTCACCAAGAGATAAAGCAATCAATAGAACCATACCAACAGATGATCTAGATGCTAGAACCACCTGACAGGGAATTTTAAAATAACTATGATTAATATGTTAAAAAAAAAATCTAGTTAAAAAGACGGATAGCAAACAGGCAGGACCCAACAGATAATCTGACAAATGGAAATTAAACACAAAAAAGAGTCAAATGCTGGCAATTAAATATGGTATCAGAGATAAAGAATTCCTTCAACAGACTTACCAGCATACTGGATACAGAAGAATCAGTTAACCTGGAAGACAGAAATTGCCCAAACAAGAGGAAAAAAGTGGAAAAAAGAACAAATATCAAAAAGTCTAATATACATGTAATCAGTTTAAAGAGAAGAGAAAAACAAGGCAGAAGAAATATTTAAAGAAACAATGGGCAAATATCTTCCAAAATTAATGAAAGACAATCAATCATAGATCAAAGGAACCCAGAGATCTCCAAGCAGTAGTTAAACAAAAACCAAACACATCATAGTCAAACTGCTGAAAACCAGACACCATCTTGAAGGCCACTTGGAAGTTTTGAAGGTGACA